CCATGTGGAGATGTATAGCAGCCAAATACTCAAAATGTGGAGGGAAAAACCGGAGGAGCCAGAGAAAAATCCATGCGACTCCAGGGAGAAAGTGCAAACTCCAAATATACAGGCATCATTAGGGTTGGGATCGAACTCCATGCCCTCCTGTATACCAGGCGAGCTAGTTAACATCTCGCCACCGTGTGACGCCTCAGCGGCTGGCCTGCACTTTTCCAAATGGATACTGCGCCTCCTGACACGATACGGTGATAACGCAGTGGGGGATGGCATTGGCAAAAGGACAATAGATGAAAGAAAAGCTGTGCCGCCAGAGATAAGCCGAGGTCGTCATACGTCGTGAAGGTCTATTTGACCGTGAGTAACTTATTAACTGTGTAACAGATCAATACGGGTGATAATGATTGCGTGCGATTACACGCACCCACAACTTTTAATGTTTTCCCATACGCTGAATTTTAATGTGTGTAGAATGCATCAACTTCTTTAAGGTGTGAAAAGTAAATGAAAGCATTTCTACAAATCGGAATGCTTGACAACCAAAATTAATTGTATCTTTTTACGCTAATGGATGCCCTTTTAAGCACTTGCTGTTTCCGGATGTCACTCTCGGAGACTCGTTTTTGAAATTGAATCCCCCTGCTCCGAAAAGTAAAGACAACGTGGGTGTGGAGTGCACTTGTGCGTGTTTCCACTGTAATTGTAGCTGAGTGAATAAACAAATTAGGCTACGTGGCACTTTGGAGCAAACACGCATGGGAATGTATGTGAGGTTCAACTGAGGCACATGTTTATGGAATGACGAGAACAACATTAGCCTATGACGGTGGGTTGAGCCTGAACACTGCTTAGATGGGCGATCATGCATCATGCGCAACAGGTTGTTACAGGCTGCGGCAAGGCCACAAATTATGAGCAGCAGAGGGCACTGTAAAACAAATACATTGTTGTACTGTACAGTTCTATGGCCCCACGTTTATGCTCTACGCCTTCGTCAACACGCATAGACCAGCGTGGTAAAGTATGGCCAAATAACTCTCACAACCTGCGCAGACATTGGGAGGCCCTCATCCAGCAGTGGATAGATAAAAGGGTTGCATATACAAATTAAGACCAAACAGGTTTTTCTTCCTGTAACAAAAATTGAAATGTATCCTCAACGTGAAACATTGCTACTGTTTAATTTCTCTTTTAAAAAATAATGCTTCCTTCGAGCCGGATTTGAACCAGCGACCTAAGGATGACCCAACAGCGACCAGCCACTACAGTCCTCCGCTCTACCAACTGAGCTATCGAAGGCAGGACAGCAATGCCCACCAGGTTCAACTTGAAATATATCGTCCACGTTAATATATCATCATTATCATCATTATCCAGGGTGAGTCGACTGTTGAATGAAGGTCTCTTCAAGTCGCCGCCACCTCTCAGGATCCTGCAATGTAATCGTAATCGTTGAGCACATTTGGTAATCATGCCATCCTTACAGTGCAATGCTATGTATGTTGAACTTCTTTCACACCGTACGTAGCCGACCGTGCTCTTCCGAGGTGCAGGGGAAGGACAACAAACTAAACACACAAAAAGCAGTTCTATCACGAAAGCGCTACGTTTCCCATACTCTGCAGTATTTTCACAGTACTGTCGTGGCCAATGTTTGCCGTGTGTAATCCCAGTGGAGCAACTTGATGGATTTTTTGTTCAAATTTGCGAAAATTTGGACCAATGCCCCGGCATTTAATGGATTGACTCCTTTCGAATGACATCAGGGGGATCCTAAACATCCACGCGTTAGACTGACCCACTGTGAAGCACCCATTGTAAACGCCTGCTGAGAGAACCAAGGCGGCCCGATTCGAACCGCGAACATCTGCATAGCCTGAGACTGTTGGGGAAAGTGCTGTTTGCGAGGAGCACCCATGAGGGCCGGCACGGCACACGAGGGGGTGGGTGTCCCCAACACCACGCCCGGCCGCCTTTTGTCTCTCCAGTGGCGATGTTTACACACCGCGCCAGGTACTCACTTGAGACTGCACCTGCTGATTTCATTGCTCCGTCTCCTCAGTCAACATCCTCTCGGACGCATTCCATTCATTGGCTGCCACTCCATCATGATACTTAAACCACGGGCCATCATCCCTTGCAAGCCACGTGTCCTGTACAAGCCCACTTACTTTACTCTCGTCAATATCAATGAAATACGATACTACAGTACTAATAATACACATTCTTTCTCCCCTCCACCCCCACACATGCTCGTCAAAATCTACAGCATCAGTCTTGTCCTCACACCGAGAAAATCAATTCTCTTTGTCCATTGCGAGCGTGGCCGTCCAGAGGGTGGGGCAAATAAGGGGACATTTTGACCCGTGCCATGAGGCATGTGGATGGTGAAATAAGGGACCCCCCCCCCCCCCAATTTTGCATTCTGCACTGGGTCGCGAGTGTTTAAAAGTGGACCGTCATTTCCCCTATAATTACGCCCCCCCCCCCCCCACACAAAAATGATGTTAGTCAGTTTAACACGAAGGCTTTCGCGACCAATATTATCAAAACAAAAACGTCCATTATGTAAAAAACTAAATATTGATGTTTATTTTTCTTCTTCTCGAAACATCCAAATCTACCTGTGTGGCTGTACAGGTTGTAAAGGGTGTGTCGGTGGGACGTCACGATACAGGTTAGACAAGTGAAAGGCAATTCTTTACCCGGCCCAGCTGTTGAGCACATCAGCCGGTTGCCTCCCTCATTGTCCCGGGTGGGATATATATACTGTATGTGTTTTACAATTTTGACAGCTGTACCTACAGTAGCAATGACGTGCTTGGCATTAGAATGAATGGGTGCGGGTAGTTTAACGTCTCTCCATCTGTAGAGGCATTGTGGTTGTGGTTAAAGTATTTGAGTGAAAACATTTTTGCATGGGATATTTGAAATGGCAGAGTTACCCGCTGGTTCTAACAGGTCTGCGCGAGTGTGCTGCGGAGCTCTCTGATGTGTTCACTCTACCGTAATGGGAGCTTCCTCTTCAAGGACTTGAGCCTGGATAGTGGGGACCAACCATGCACCACAGGTGTTATAGGCTGTACAGGGATACACTGTGGACAGCAGGGTGGCATTGTGGCAAGGGGACGTCCATAAATGACGTCACGCACCTCGGGGGGGGGGGGGGTCAGACATTTGTGACGATGTGTGACGAGGGGGGGGTTTGAGAAATGTGACGTCACATCAAAATGCGCAACTTTAAATAAATATAGACAAAACGTTCTACTTAATTAAATTGACTTTTTAATAAACGTTTTCTCCTACAACATCAGAGTGCAGCGCCACATTGAATACGCACTACAATGACAATAGTTTAAAGCGATTTGAAGCATGTTTTTTTTTTGGGGGGGGGGGGGCAGAGCTTTGTGACGTCATATTTGAGGGGGGGGGGTCTGACTTTTTGTGACGCCGTGTGACAACGGGGGGGGGGGGGGGGGTCAACAATCGTTACAAATCGCGTGACGTCATTTTTGCACGCCAACTTCAGAGCATCCCACACCGAGCAGCGTGGTAGATGAAGCACTCTCAATTAAAATCCCACGGCACGAAATTACATCGACTGTAACACATTATTGGCATTAACTGAACATTAAAAAAAATATTAAAATGGAATGTACAAACACATTTACATGAATGTAATAAATAGCGACGTTAAAACAGATGGAAAAGAAAATATTAAATTAAAATAAAGTAGCCTCCTTCGAGCCGGATTTGAACCAGCGACCTAAGGATGCCCAACGGCGATGAGCCACTACAGTCCTCCGCTCTACCAACTGAGCTATCGAAGGTGACGCTGAGGCCACCTGTGCACACAATCTATCAGGTGAGCCTCGGATAGTGAAAACGCCATGTCCCGAGTGTGGAAGCAACAATCTAAATTTCTCAACACTTCCTACACACGCGTGTGCGGTGTTTGTCATTTTAAAGCCCCTTCCTCCCCACGTCGGTGGGTCACTGGGTTATTTGACCATACTTCACCACGCTGGTCAACGCATTTTGGTGAAGGGGCGTGTGGGTAGGAGTCTCGGGAGAGGGGGCAGGATCGGGAATCAAACTCAGGAGGCTGTGTTCACGGTGCAGTGCGCTAACCACCGGTCCGCCCCGGAGAATGTGTATACAAAGAACCCACCCAGCCCCCACTTAGGCCTTGTATACTCTTGGGGGTAAGTGTTGTTATCAAGCATAATCTAGTCACAACACACGACCGCCTTTGTCTCCCCAATGGTGATTTTTTTTTATATACACCGTACCAGACACTCATTAAAAGGCTGAGTCGACCAACGGGACATCCATAATCGGTTCAGATATCGCCACGAATGTTTTCAATGGCTGGGCGAGAACAACTCTGGTTAACTCGTTGCGCTCATCACTACGCCACCTCTCCAAAGACAAAGATCCCCCGTATAGCATTAACAGACTGTAGGGGCAAGTGCTGCTTGCGAGCACCTACGAATGCCGGAACGGTTCACGAAGGGGTGGGTAGCCAGAACCACACGCCCGACCGCCTTTGTCTCCCCAGTGACGATGTTTACACACCGAACCAGGTACTCATTTGAGGCTGAGTGCACCTAGGGGAGGCCCAGGACCGGTTCAGATAATTGTTACCGGTGTTGGCCGTGAGCGGGAATCGAACTCGGGTAGCCGGGTTCGTAGCGCAGCGCGCTACCCGCTACATCACCGCTCCCACACACGCAACACGGGGGGGAAGGAGAGAGACGGGGGGGAGGGGTTGATTAACATAATTATGTGTGATGGGAGGGGCATGGCGGGGAGATGGGCGGGGCATGGCATGGAGATGGGTGGGGCATTGAATGGAGATGGGCGGGGCATGGCATGGAGATGGGTGGGGCATTGAATGGAGATGGGCGGGGCATGGCATGGAGATGGGTGGGGCATGGCATGGAGATGGGCGGGGCATGGCATGGAGATGGGCGGGGCATGGCATGGAGATGGGCGGAGCCTCCGCCTCGTCTTGCCAGCAGCATCAGCTGAGCGCTGCGCAAACGGTGGCTGCTCTTGACGCGATTGCTGCCAATGCTGCCGATGCTACTGCTGCCGATGCCGCTACTGCTGCTGCTGTTGCGTCGGAATGCACTGGGGAAGGTAGCACTGGACGAGCCCATGTGTTAGCCATCGTCAGCATCATCAACATCATCACCACCACCACCATTATCAACAAGATCAACGTCGTCGATGGAGTTGCAGCTGATGATGCTGCTCCAGCTGATGCTGCTGCTGCTGATGTTGCTGCTGTGTGCTGCGACTGGGAGCGCGGAGTACTCGGCGGACCAGTGCAGCTGGAGGGGAAGGTGAGAGGTGCTCGCAAACACAGTGGAGTTTTCAAGCCACTCACAGTTGGTTAAAAAAAAAGTTTGGCGGTGTTGTTGGTGGTGGTTGTTGTTGTACAGCGCGATCTATGTATAGATACCCCGTTAAAAGAACACTGCAATAATTATAGAGAGGACCGCATTTAATTTCGAAGCAGCTACGGGGGTCGGTTATAATTACCGTTCTAAGCAGCGTCGTTGTTTGAAATCGCGAATTACGTTGCGAGTGCGGTTACGAATCGCATGGCGTTCACCATCATCATCATCATCAACCAGTTCACTGCTGGATGAAGGCCTCCCCAAGTCGTCGGCAATCTCTCACGATTCCGCGACGTAGCAATGAGTCTCAAATTCAAGGTGATTCGTAAGAGAGGCTGAGCCACAATCCCGTACAGGGCATTGGATCACCTGATGAGACGAAAGTTTGGAGGGGGTCATTCATCGGCAGGGTATCTATACATGGATCGCCCTGTAATTTTGGGGCAGTGTGGTATGAAAGATCTTTGCACGCGCACACGTCCACACGCGATGTTGTATACGTATGTTTAACTTCTTTCGCACCGTACGTAGTCAGCCGTGCAGGAGAGTGCAGTGCTCGTTTCCATAGGTGGTGCAAGCCCACTCTCAACTGGCGGTCGTGAGAATAATTATTGTAGCCTGCTTGTGACTGTTGTGAGCGACTGCGTGACGAATGTACTCAATCTTAGAGGGAACAAGGTACAGAAAAGGACGTGAAGCCGGGAGGGTCAGGGAAAGGGAGGTCAAGAGAAGGGGGCATCCAGATTAGTCTGGGAGGGACGGACAAGAGACATGCATGGTAAGAGACATCTTACACGATAGATAACAAGCCAGGAGACGGCTGTAGGATGAGAATATAATACAGCAGCATGCAGGCAAGAGACTGTGAGACGAGGGCAGTGAGTTGCAGACACAGCAGAGAAGTTCTGTACAGACAGGCGTCTGTACAAACAGACGTTTGAAAGACGAGTCCAGTGGAAGGGACGGTCAAGGTACGACCACTGATGTTCGTTGGGTGGTTTGTTGGAAAAGTCGTTCTGTTGGAATCTCTCAGCTGGAGCTTTTAAAGATGCAGACACATGTCATTTAAAGCCAGACTCTAGGAGCCCTCCCCTGCGCAGATGCAATGTGGCACCTCATATGAGCGTGATGCTGTTTTGCAGTGGTAATGAGCACAGAGATGACGTTTGCAATTTGTCTTTAACAGTATAATGATTATATACTGTACATATTGACCGGTGGCACAGTGATACGCGCTCTGAACCTGGCGATCTGAGTTTGAATCCTGACCACGGCTAAAAATAACGGCGCCGAGTGATAGCTTAACCGGTTTGGGGTGTACATCATGGTAGAGTCGATTGTTGGGGGAAAAATAGACTGTTATATTTGCATATTTTGATTGTGTGTGTGTGATATTAAGATAATTAGCCAGTAAGTTCGGCTTTGAATTAATCTGCTATCTGTTGCACAGTACCGAAAGCAATGTTTGCAAAGTAAAACTGTGGCTTGTCAACTTTTTTTTCAATTCAGTCTGGCTTCTTTTAAAAGCAGTAATTACAAAAATAAGAAAAATGGTGGTGGTGTTTTTTGTTGTTGTAATTTGGCGCGTTCGGTTTGCGCGCCCAAACTAGCCGACGTAAATGAATTCTTTTTGGTGGAGCGGCGGGAGAGCCCCATTCATTGTCTTGGCGACGGAACGGACTTTTGTCTTTAAAGTCCTGGAGACGGCTTAGAGAAGCCAAGACGAAGAATTTAATTACTGCAGCCTCGCTCGCCGGGAAAACCAATATACTTTGTGAGGGGTCCGAGGGAATGCTTACTGAAGGAGCAACGATACATTTTTCACTCTTCACGTCTCCTCATGGTGCATCAGGTGTCCCGTGGAATTAATAATCACTGTTATGATATTGGAAAATTATTTGCCCAGGAAAGCCTCATACTAAGTTTCAAGATTCATGTTCAGGGTTATTCTGGCATTTGGTTGTTTTTGTTGATGCCATTTTAATGAGACGTTGGAAGCCCATGCAATATGAGAAGGTGGCACTGAAAGCTCTGCACAGATGGATTAAATAACCCGTTGCTCTGTTGCCATAATCTGCCTGGCCACCTCAGTCCAAGCCTACAACACATGGTATTTCAAGGAGGTCTCTTGTGCAAGTACTAGCCAGGCTCAAATCGGCTCATCTTCTGACATCCAAAGAGATTGGGTGCATTCAGGGTGGTTTGTAATGTTTATCAAAATGTGCGTTTAGAGCATAGGTAAATAGGTAAATGTAACATGCTTTGTAATGATTTTATTTTCATGTTTGTGTATTACATTGCATTCACCTTATTCAGTTTATTTCGCAGAAGAAATCTATTCTTAAATCACAACACTCAAATCAAGATTTAACACTGAATTTGATAATTAATCGAATCGCTCCAGGAAGTTGAACTGTTGCCCAATCCCCTTAGTCACTAAAACAATTCCCTCTTTGTGTCCCATTACCAGCAGCCTGATACACGAGCTAGAGAAACATTACAAACAAGAACGGTAAAACTAGCTTAAATTAAAATTTAACCGTGAATCGTGACGATTTATGCAATTGCTCCAGGCATTCTTGAACAATTACCCATCTCCCTAGCTGATAACGCTCCTGCCTCTTTACTACCAGTGGCCCGACGACATGACCCTGAGAATCACACAAGTGGGTTAAAAACAAGCCAAACAAATATAATCCATCCTTACTCAAATCAAGTCGCAACCCTGAATCACGACAACGCATTGACTCCCTCCGGGGGGTGCTTTAAACCATCACCCATGCCCCCAGTCGCTAACGCTCCCTCTCCTCCGTGCGCCACTCCCAGCGGCCTGACGCACGAGCCTGGTTCGCGGTCCGTGGAGCAGCTCTACCTGCGCTGCTCGGAGGGCTCCATCGAGTGGCTCTACCCGAGCGGCGCGCTGCGCCTCGTCCTCAAGCCCAACGTGCCGCCTTCCTTCCCGGGGGCGGCCGCCGCCGTCGCCTGCATCAAGCCCTCCGAGGGCTTCCGCGGCGCCAGCGTGTACGCCGACCGAGACGGCGCGCTGCAGCTCGTGATGAGCGAGCGGGACGCGCGCGCCAACAGGACGTACTGCCTGCGCGCGGCGCCCGGCCGTCCGCTGGCCATCTTCGTGCAGGCCACGCCGCAGACGGACATCAGCAGGAAGGTGGCGGCGTTTCGCTACGAGCTGAGGGTGGGCGTCGGCGACGACGGTGGTGATGGTGGTGGTGGCGGCGGCGGTGGGGCCTCCGACCTGCAGAGCTTCATCAGATCCAGAGGTAGGAGACTGTGATGGGGCCTGCCTCGCCACCCCCACCGTGCTTCCCGTCTCGTCCCCCAGCAGACATTCGTGACGTCGGTGTGCACAATTGTATTTGTAGGTCAATTTTCATTGGTGACGAGAGGTGAACAATTCAAATCAAGATTAAGTTCACTCTGGGTTCGGGGCGCTTTGTCGGCACCGCTGAGATCGTGGGGTTTAATTTAGGTGTCTGCTACCCGAGGATTAAACCGGTTTCTCAGGTGTAGTGTCTGGAAGGTCTCAGATTATCACGTTATATTTGGTTTTTTTCTTCTTCCATTTTTGGAAAAATATTCCACCTCCCAGGGCTTGAACTTAAAGCAAGCTTGGGGATGAACAGTCTTCTCAGGGCATTGCACGGTGTGCCCCTGGTGTGTATAAAGAGGGTTTTTGACGTGACTTCACAGGTAGTGCCAGAGCTATTGTTTGACAGGGTGATGCACTGATAACAGCATTGTTCCAAACGGCAATAAAAAATGTTAATTTCTGATGTACCAACTTCAGCTCCTTCCGTAACATTAACTGTACTACTCTGCCGCTCCTGCCACTTTACTACCTGCACCGCACCAGACCACCTCCTCTCGGTCCCCACACTGCCTGGGTTTATCTGACTGCCTTCACCTTGGCTCATTACCCATCGTTTCTGCATTCTCCTTTATTATGAGCAGATACCTTTATTGAGTCCGAGCCTAATCTTATCGCGATTCAGAAATCCGCTTAAATTCCAGACACCGTGTAAAACATTGACGAGAACGGTGGTGAATGCACCACGGTGATACGACCGGTGCCTTGGCTCGTCACCGTCGCGGTGTTCATGTTTCTAAAGCGTGCAGGGCTTGTGAGGCGGGCGAGTGCCACGGCTCGAGTACGCTCCTACCGCTCGCTCTGTGCGAAAGTGTGCAATAAAATGTTGTACTGTACTTTGTTTTACCAACTGAAAATGTGCTTTTTATTTTTCTATTATACTGAATGAACGTGCAAATGCCACGAAATAATAAAAGTGATATTTTTCTATCAAATGTCGCATTTTTTTGTGTTTATGAACGTAAGCTTTTCAGTTTTAAGATTTATTTTTATTTTGTCCTGGTATAATACATGGGTCTGACTGTCAAGTTCTGTAAGCAAGTGGCAGGTCCATGGCTCCAGCTCCCTCCATCCCCTCCAATCCCTCTCCCCCTCTTCATATCACAGTGCCGCCCTCCACAAGGCTAATGATCCATAACTAGGGAAGGGCATTTGAGGTGCCTTCCCTTTCCCCTCTGCAGTGTTTTTTTTCAGGTGACACCAATACCTTATGGGGTTTAATGTCCTAACACATGGGTACACTTGGTTATTCGCAATTAAAAATGTTTAGGTGTTTTATTTTCTATTTTACAAGCTTAGCAGATCACTTGCAGTCAGAGTAAATGCATGTATGACAGAGAGATGGCTCGGATGGCAAAAACTTGCATCCTGTCTTTGAGCTAATACCACATATTGCAGTGCTAAATAAAGAGTCCACCCACCCATGATTAAACCCGGTTCCAAAGTGCAGCAGCAAGTTGATGGTGTCAGCTTTTTTACCGATGACTTCGCAAAAACACCATTGTATATAATGCTGTATTCACTTCACTGGGCCATGCCTGGCTTTAACTGTGGATCATGGAATGCTATATAATTTTACAATGCACCCATAGGGAATTCAATTTCAGTGGTAGCTGAAAGAGACGTATCCAGTTTCAATGGACTCTCACCTGCCCATTGAAACCAGAGATAAAGGTCATCCATCTTACCTTCCTGCTCATACGGGCTTTTGCAGACGTCACATTTGTGGGGATGTCATCCAGGGAAGTTCTGCCAAGTAACTTCATGCACCGCTATCATAACAACAACGGCTTACATTTGTAGTGCACCAATAGCATACCCGTCGTCTCCGAGAGTGGAACCGATTTCTTAACCTTGTGCCTTGACTCGGGGAGAACGCTTCGGATTATTCGGTTAATGTTTTGTTTTACATGTAAAGCGGCATGAAGTGTTTTCAGGTAACACTCACCCGCTATCTATAATATACAATAGCTTCATATCCATTAGGTGTTTTGTTGTTGTTTATCACAGTTTGTAGAGCGTAGATACAAAGGTCTGTAATGCAATAGAGCCAGCAATGAAGAGCACTGATGGTAATAGACCAAATTAAAAGCGAACGACATTTGTTCAAACTGAGCAAAGCAATTGGAACTTGGTGAAAGAGACGATGGGACAATGTTCTAAACTCGAGTAAGTACACGGAACAAAATACGCGAGCGATGTGTTTGCTTCCTTACAAAAATGGTAGCCAAACACGGTGGGGATGAGAGGAAAACAGAAGCCGATTGAACGAGGAAAGGGGATCGTGGAACGGCGTTTTTGAGACAGAGGCCATTCCGAAGTGCGGTGGTTGTGGAGAGGTCAGACGTGCGACAATCGTGCAGGGCCAGGCATGCCACAGCAGGACAGGCTCTGGCCTGCGCTGCGGTTATAGTGCAGCATCACTTTATTTTGCACTCAACACTGAACATCCCAGCAACGTGTGATAGACATTGCCCAGACTAGTTTCTCCGGTCGCTGTTGCCAAACGTCCATTAAAAATGCACTCAAGTCTCGAGCTTTGCGTCATTGCCGCCACCTGCAGATGTGCTCTGTAAAGAAAAAGGGCAAAATGGTGCATCGCAGAGGTCGCAAACGGGTTTTGATTCCTTACCCGTACCCGGCCGCACCAGGGTCGCAAACGGGTACCCGTACCCGGCCGTACCCGTACCCTACACCCGTACCCAGCCGGGTACGGGTATCGGGTACCTGATTGCCACCTCTGGGATGAAGCCATGTTGCAGGCGCGGGTGGGTTGATTCTAGGAACTTGAATTGTGAGAAGAGACAAGACGTTGGGAAATGAGTGACAAACGGTTACTCACCAGTGACTCACGGCCTACCCGTACCTGTACCCGGCCGCACCAGGGTCGCAAACGGGTACCCGTACCCGGCCGGGTACGGGTATCGGGTACCCGGTTGCGACCTCTGGTGCATCGCCGCAAATGCTCACGCTGCTGTTGGTGGAAGAGGCTCCACGAGAGGGGTCTCCAGAGAGCCCCTCTAGAGAGGGCATTTTGACCGACTCTTCCATGTTGGCCAAACGTTTCGGAAGAGACACTTTGGCCCACCGCACGCGACCTGACAGGCACCGATTTACACTGATGGATGGGCAGGCAGCAGGATTGGTGTGTGGGGGGGGGGGATTTAAAAACCTGTTCCATTGTTCCGACTGTCGTGCCGAGAGATTGGCATCGGCAACCTTTGTGCAGGGTCGGATCGCTGTGCTTATTGGGAATTATACTTCACCTTGCAATTGTAAGCCAGAACAAGTGTGCCGAGTGTTCATATTCTTAGGTTTTTTCGGTAAAGTCACGTAGGTAAAAAATCAAAATTAATAAAAGTAAAATAAAAATAAAATAAAAATCACGACGTTTCGGAGGCAACACAAGCTTCCGTCTTCAGGTGGAAATTGATTACAGCAAGCGTGCTGTGACGGTTCCACCTGAAGACGGAAGCTTGTGTTGCCTCCGAAACGTCGTGATTTTTATTTATTTATTATTTTACTTTTATTAATTTTGATTTTTTACCTACGTGACTTTACCGAAAAAACCTAAGAATATGAATACTTGCAGTCACGAAAGCTTCAAATCTAGAAATATGTGCCGAGTGTGTTACGAGTCTCATTTGCGCTACAAAGGTGGCCAGTAGATGACAGGGGCTTTGGATTTTTTTTTTCTGGATGCCCTCTTCTTTTCGCACGTTATTTTGGTAATACTTCTGTGTAGGTTTTCACGGTTGTGCCAGGCAGCTCTCTGATGTGTTTTCGAGTCGCACCTCATGTTGTTCGACATGATTTCTAAAGTTTCGCCACACGTGCTGGGAGCTACCCAGCACGGTAACCTCCCCAAATCAAGCACAAATCAGAGATTCGATTTTTTTGTTTGGAACTTGTCTCCATTTTGATTTGGTGACCCAGGTCACCTTTGAAAACGAGAAGTTTGGTCTCGATGGGCTTTCACCTGGGCATAAATAAAGTGCGCACAGCACCGCAATGTGGCCGAGCGAATGAATGGGCATGGCGGTGCATGCTGTACAGTTTTATAGCCAATTGGCATTCGCTCAAATCGGCACCGCGCCTAGGATGTGCCGCTGCTGCTCCCCGTCTCAAAGGGACCCTGAGGCACAATGACGTAAGGGTTGGATGGAGGGAGAGAAGGCCACAAGTGCGGGCTTCATAGCCCCCTGCAGGTCTCGGGAAGCATTCCAACGGCAGGGGCGCCCCTTCAGACATGCGCACAATAGAGACGTTCTGTAATTGTCCTCGTAATTACCGTATAAGGATGATAAAAATGGTAATTAAGGGGTCCTTGACGATTTGTAAGATCCTAGTGAGATGCCAGACGATTTATAGATAAGGGATTTAATTGTATTTAGATGGAGTGAGATGAAAGAACAGATCCAGACAACAAATGAGTGAGATAAATTTTCTGTGTTATGTTAATTAACATGTGATCTTTAATAGGGTTTCAATTTGAGACGATATTTAATTAACCACTATTATTCATGAATCTGAGGCCCCTTGACCTCCTTGGGACTCTGAGCTTTTACTTGGTTTTCTTGGGCCGAGCACCACCACTGGTTAGGGATGTAACGATTCACCCCACTTGCGATGAAATGGTCAGGATTCAGGGTAGAGATTTGATTCGATAACCAATTATATTTTGTACATTTTTCTGAAATATCCGGCCTTTCGTGGTTGGAGGGGTCAAGTGAACTCATTACACACTATATATATTTTAAAAACCCGTTAATTTCGATGCTTGTATCGTGAGCTGAAGCAACGATATCAATCGATTGATGCATGCATCGTTAGCACCCCTAGTGGTAGCTCTTGGACTTATTTCAAAGTTTTTCTCAGAAACTGGTTAAAGTG